GCGATATGGTTCATGGGGTCACAAAGAGTCGGACACGACTTAACGACTGAACAACAACCACCACCTTAGTAAGTATCTACAACTCTGAGCATTCTACCCCATTGGCTGTGCTGGCTGGGAGCTGCAAAAAGTTGTAGTTCAAAAACTATATCCAGAAGGGCTTCAGCTCCTCAACTCTGTCACAGAAGTTGACCATAGTGGCTGTGAATTCTGGGAGTTGTAACTCCAACATATCTGGAAAGTGTCAGGCTAGGGAAGTGTAAGGCTAGGTCAACAATATTTTTAGAGGTTGAGGATCTACAAAGAAATAAAGTTGCTTAAAACCTCATGGGATCATCATGTTTTGGCCATCACACCCCTGATAAATTGCACAAAAATGCCAAAATTGCAATAGGTCTCTTGCAAAAACATTGACATCTAACAGGATTTTGCCATTCTTGTCCAAAAATTTTACAAGGTTCAACCATTTCCATTTTAACTTTTAAAATTTAATTTTGGGATCCCATGGATAGTGTCTAGGGCTATCATGGGCACCTTAGAGGCTGCAGATGCTATGCTCCAGCCCAGTGTAAGCGAATGCTCTCAGCTAAAATACATAATTTATATTTCAACATAGTTTAACCATTTTACCTACTTTTCAAGATGGTTTAGAAGCAGTTTCCCTTCACTGTCACTAAGAGTTGTATATGAAGAGGACATACAAGCCTAAGTCTGTCCTTGTGGAAACAAAATGAAAGGCAGGGATGTTGGCAAAAAAAAAAAAAAATCAAGATAGCAGCCACAATGGTGCAAGTGAAAATCTTCCTTTTTTGTGTGTGCTTGCAACGCACATGAAGATCAGGTGGAACTTTGATTGCACCATCATAGCTGCTATCTTGACTTTCTTGACCATATCCCACAGACATCCTTGGTGAGTGGGCAGAAGTTAATGTGAATGTGGAATGTCCCCACAGAAAAACCTAATTACTTGGCCTTACCTATGATCCTGAGTAGTGTACTTCAATAATTCAGCAAGCTGCAGGGGATATTTACATATTTTCTGAACAGGCGTGAGGAGGAAACCGTCAATGGCAATGTCAATCATTTGCTGAAGGAGGCGACATGCTTCAAAAAAATGGCGGTACTTGCTGTGTTTCATCAGGTTGGAGAGCTCAAGGCAGGCTCCGGGATGATTGTTACAATACTCAGAATAGATCGCAAAGCCTTCTTGCTAAAAACAAAAACCCAATTTTAAAATATCTCACAACTGGAAGGAGAAAACAAGGCACAGATGAATTGCAAGTGGTAGAAATTGCTTCCACATTTCTGCAGCTGTTTCCAAGTGAAGAAAGGGAGAGGACAGTGATGTAAGTCACACCTGGATTTCTTGCAAAGGCACAGAGGCCCTATAATTGTTTCTCAGACAGATGACAAAAAAGGAACCACTGAGCTTGGCAATCTGTCAGGCATGCAGGACCTCAAATGAATGAATCCCTGCAGCACCACATTTTAGGCAAACACCCAAATATTTGGAGAACAAACACACACACAATACAGCCTATATGACTTTTGACTGCTAATAGCAGTCACAAGACTTGCTAGTAAATAAAATCTGGACCCATCTGTATGCTTTCCAGAGCCATTTCTGCAGTGATTTCTGCAGTCACCGTCACATCAAGAAATGGCAATGCATTTATTGAAATTGGTCCTTAGTGAATCTGCATACACAATGGCTTTACATGATTTAGCTTTCCCATTTGAGGCAAGAAACTGGAAACTTCTGCAACTCAGGTTGCTCGTTTCCTATTCATCAATCACAACTTCTTTTTTAAAGAGGTTGTATATGAAAATAAATATGCTTTACCAAGTTTTGAGTCATAGTATTAGAACACACCAATGACTGTATGCAAAGGTGAAGGTAAAACTGAGGAGATTCTTTAAAAGGTAGGCAGCTGTCCCCCTCCCCCTTTCTGCAGCCCTCAAAGCCCTCTCTGGGTAAGACTGCTGAAAATCTATGGCACAGTTCTCTAACATTTTGAGATGAGCCCTAAAATATATATAAAATAAGTCCTGGCCCCTTTTGCATAATCAGCCTGCTCACTCTGGCCTTGGACCCTTCTGAAAACATAACTGAAAAGCTGCCTGTAACATTTATTGAATTATGCTGATATTAATCCTGCAGTTTTATCTCACTGTAGTTTCCCAGCTCATCAAACTCTTTCTCCTGCACTGCACTTTTTAGTCAAATGAGGGTATTTAACCAACTTACATGCTGAAGAAAGCAGGATCCTATTTCACTTAAGTGGGGCTCTTCTTTGTTGTACTGCTTCTCTAGATCTTTCAAAAATTTTCTTTGGAATTTGTAAATATCTTCAATATTTCCAAATATGGTGCTTAGCTGGGCCACAGTGAACATTCCTGTATGTTTGCGACATTGTCGAATGTATCCCTAGAAATCCAACCACAGCAGTCTTAATATTGATCATGGTAAACAGAAATTGAAGATTTTCTACCATTTTACCATAACATTTCCTCATTTATCTACTGCCACCCTTCCTCAGAATTCATAAGGAACCATTATTTTATGTGTCTCAAAGTCAAGATACAATGCTGTACAATGAATTCTACAGCATTGCAGAATTAATTTACTTTAAGGAGGTAACAATTATTCTAATAGAACATCTGGACAACACCTTTCAACTTGCTCCCAGACAGCTGTACCATATTTCCATGGCAAGAAAACTTAGTGTGGTACTAGAATAATAGGCTCACAACTTGCTTTTCTGCTCAAAGAAGTACAGTTCTCTATGAGTAGCAACAAGTGCCATCCTGTATTTTTTTTTTAAAACAAGGTTGGGGAAACATTTATAAAAAAGTCAGTGTCCTTTTCACTGGGGGAAAGCGATTGAAGGTGCAGTTGACAGACACAGGGTCAGTTCAGACAAAACAAAAAGATTAAATAGAAATCATGATCACAAACCACCTTTATTGTGAAAAACACAAAAAGATTTCTTCAAATGTTATTACAGAGATTTGTTATCATGACACTGACTTATTAGTTCCTTCCTTGTCTTTGCCCATTTTGCCTTTTCCTGTCACTTTCTCCTGTTTTTTCTCTGTTTTCTCCACACAGCAGTTTTATGTTGCTCGACTCCTATATATAGACCTGCTGGAAATGAAATCCCTTCCTCTACGTTGTTCACAGTAATGGCCTGGTGTTCTGTCTGGACTGTGCATACCACATAACCTTTGCTGGGGCTTCTCTTGCTTCATTATCCCTCCCCTCCATGCCAGGAAAGGCCCTGTGCCATGTGGTTTCTATTAACAGACCTTTGGTATAAACCTAAGCAGGTGACTCACCCTTGTAATTGGCACCTTCTTGTCTAAGGTCTCCACCAGTGGACCAGGAAATAAACAAATAAAACATCTGAGTTTTATTGTTATTTCTGTCACTTCAGCCATCACAATTTCCTGCTACATATCAAACACTAATTTGATACGTGGCAGGAAAAGACAGGTGAAGGTTGCCTCCCCAGTGGGTTGGGAGGCAAGAAAAGGATAGAAGTACAGTATGGTTAGTAGCCCATACTTGCACTGGGGCAATTCGGATGTGTGAATCAGCCTAAATCTCGTCACAGGAAAAGAAAGGAACAGTCCAGAGAGCTCTTCAGAGTTTAATGATGGTGTTGTTCATTAAGAGCAACATCACTGTTTGGGATGGTTCATAGACTATCCAAGCCAAAGTTGGATTTCTTTTCTCCTCTGTTCTTACATTTTGTAGCTTACCTCACAGATGTCCTTGAGGTGTTTGATATAAATCCTCTCTGTATTCATTATTTCCTGAATTACATTGGTTCTCATCTGATCCTTGTTTTCTGCTATTTTTTGGCGATGCTTTTCAGGATCTACGTTTGGTTCTTCGTCTTGGAGGTCACCACAGTATTCTGCAAGTTCTTCTTGATTGACTCGTAGCTGGAAGGAAAAGAAAAAAGGAAGTAAAGCAACTGAGTTGAAAAACTATACCTATAACTAACCCCATTCTAGAAACATAATGTCAGAAGTAATAGGGCAAGGTACAGTACTTAAATTGTTTTAAGTACCTTGCCTAGGTATAGCTAGAATTATCTCCAACATCCATTACCAGAATTCTACAATCTCTGTCAAAGGTTCCCCACAGATAACCATGTCAAATAACATGGTGGGGACTTTTCAGTTGTGTTACCCTGTTTCTGAATGCCCTCCATAGAGAATCCCACCTGGTATCCATGCTATAGTCTTTTTAGTGCCAAGTGAAGAAAGGTATTTTTATTTTCTAAGGCATTAATGAGCACTTTACTGTTTTTAGATATCTGCACTATTTTGCTGCATGCTTCATAGTGATTTTTATGTTGCCTCTATCCTTATTGCTTATTTTATCTTGGCGTTATTATACAGTTTTCCCCACTATTTTACTGTCTTATGAATTTAATTTTGTTTGTATGTTGCCCAGAATTTGAGTTATTAGGCAATCTAACTACATAGTATATGTAATAGCATGCTAAAATGAGCAAACAAAATCTAGCATAAGGAAGTATCCAATTCTCCATATTCTTACAGGAATTAAAACTATATTGAAATTCATTGTGATTTATCTTCAGAAGTCCTCAGTATGATACTCAAGACTGACTTGTCTCTAACTCCCTTATTATTCAATGACAAAAGGTCCATATTTATCTTGTTATTCTTAAAATCCTTCTTTTACTATTTTTAAACCTCTTTCAAAGCACAGGTCACTCATCTTACAGCAATCATGCCAAATTGGTCATGTTTTCCTTTTTATATTATGTATTCTTTTAACTTTGTAAGTTATCCAGTGTCTTTTTGGACCTGGGCCCTCTTGAAATCTGAGAAGCAAATACATAAAAACAAAACAAAACCCTCTAAAACTGTTTGAAAACTGAGTATTTCAAATTTCTATGGGATGATTTTAGAGGACTCCAGGGCTATAAAATAGGAGTTCCCTGTGGTCCAGAGTCACAGGTTGCCCACCTGTTGTTTTAGTTATTGTCAGCTTAAAATGAGTATGGAGAAGCTGCAGTGTAACTAGTAAGATAACAAGTGATCTCAAGAGTAGTTTCAATTAATAGCAGCTTATTGTCAACAGAAGAACCTCTTAACCTTTATATTACCTATTTAGCCTTTACAATATGCTTTTTGAAATCATTACTTATTTATGCTGCAAGCAGAAGAAAAAATAATATCCTCAAGAATCAGCAATTTGGAAGATTAAATGCCTGCACACAAGGAAAATAATATTTGGGAATGGAAGGACATAGCTGACTTTGGTCTCTGCTTATGCTGATAATAATAATACACCTCCACCCCTGACTAAGTGATGCTATCCCAGTGCTGGCCCAGTGCCTGGACGCTGTAACTGGTGCAGAATGCAGCAGCGCATGCAGTTCTGGGTGTTCCAATTTTCTCCATATTACACCACTGCTGTGCAAGCTGCACTGGCTTTCAGTTTCTTTCCAGGTGCAATTCAAGGTGCTGGTTATCACCTTCAAAGCTCTAAATGGCATGGGACCGGGTTACTTGCAGGACTGCCTCTCCCTGAGGGTTTCTGCCCATCCCACTAAGTCAGATAGGGTGGGTGCACTCCAGGTCCCTTCCCTTAAATGTTGTCATCTAGTGGGACCTAGGAAGCACGCCTTCTCTGTAGAGGCCCCTGCCCTGTGGAACACCCTTCCCCCAGAGTTCTGGCAGGCTCCCATTCTCCTTGCCTTCTGGAAGGCCTTGAAGAGCTGTCTCTTCCTGCAAGCAATGGGGTAGAGCAAGGGTAAAGCCCAGCAAGATGGTGTGTAGATGTATGGGAGAGTGCTGCCCTGGGGTGCAATACGTTTTTACAGAATTTTATTTTATAATTTGGAGGCTATTGATGTTTTTACTGTTTTGTGCACTGCCCAGAGTTGTTGCTACAATATGAGCAGCTATGCAAATCCTTTGAAACAAACAAACAAACAAATTCAGGTGCATATCCTAGATTGGGAAGCTGAAAAAACACCTCAGAGGAAGGCAATGACAAACACATCTGCATTATTGTCATAAAATTACATGGAGATGTCCATTTAGTCAAGAGCTGAACTCAATTCAAGAAAGACTATTCCTGTATGCAGGACAAGCAAACAGAAGGAAACACAAGAGGAGGAGAATGATGATTTTCATAAATGGGATTAAGTGAAGCTAAAGTATTAAAAATGAAAATAATCCAATGAATCACTGCAGTCTAGATGCCTTTGTGGGAAAGGAAGCAGTGCAGAATTTAACCAGATCTCCAAGGTTGAACAGGTGCTTAAAAGGTAGAGAGAACTTGCTTCACTCACCCTGACAAAGCTGGCTGGAAACCAGGCTTCCTTGTCTTCATTTCTTCCCCACCACCAATCTTTGTTGGAAGCTTCAAGGACTTGGATGACTTCTCCAGCTTTGAAGGCTAATTCCTGATCATCCATGGTCACGTGATCCCAGAGAGCCTCTGCATAGACCACATTCCCATCACTTATCAGCTGCAACAAAAACATTTTGTTAAAATAAAAAGATCTTGCTAAGTACAAAGGGTGAATATAAGCAGTCACTGCAGTGACAAAAATGTGGAACTTTTTGCATGTCTTCTGTTGCAATGACTGGAAATTACAAGGCTGGAAATTTTCAGTAAAATAGAATAAACAAAGTGCAGATTTTGGACACAAAGCTCTAATGGTCATTCTATGGAAATGAAAACCTAATCTAGTTGACTAAAAAGATTTATATGAAAATATAAATATATATATGAGTGGCTGGATAGTGTAGGGGTTAGAGTACTGCCCTTTGATGTAGGAGATCAGGGTTCGAATCCCAGCTGATACCTACCTTACCAGTAGGGGTCCTTGGGCAAAGACCCCCTAACACTTCACCTGCCTACCTCAGATATGAGAGTGACACAAACTAAGAGAGTCATACCAGCTCGGACATTGCCCGGATTAACAAGGTCCATGTCAGATGTTGGGGAACCAGGGCAAACCATACATGAACGAGACAAGAGAACCTGGAATTTATGGAATGCTACTACAACAGTAGACCTAATAAGAGGGGGTATATGAAATGTATAAGGAAACTATGGATGGACAGAAGACCTACATACACATGAACTGAGAAACAGCTAGTTACCCAACGCTTCAATATAGCAAAGAGGAAGCGGCTGTCACAACTTGAGATAGACCAACTCCACATTACATTCCAGACTCAAGCAGACCTGGAAGAATAACTGGATGTGCAGCCAACATCTGAAGTTGGAACATCACTGCCATCCCCTCCATTACAGAGCACAGCAGCTGATATGAGGCATAAGAACATGGATAAACTAGCTATAGTCAACCCTTGAGACCGACTACCAAGGCTCAGTGGAGAAGTATTATCAGACAGTATGCTAGAAGATGCCAATAGAGCTCTCACGACAATCCCTAATACCACCATAACTCAAACCAATGAACTGGTATATGCTACAGTTGCTGTAATCCTGGAGATGCTTGGCTACATGATCAAGAAGAACAGCAGTACATAACCCTCCCAGAAAATGAGGTTGGAGGTTAAGATTAAGGCAAGTTGGAGAGAAGTTAGTCAGCTGGTGGAACTACAGAAGGGTGTGGAGATTACGGATAAGACTCAGCTATTGAAAAAATACAAGGGCCTGATTCCATCTGAAGCCCTAGCGACTGCTGAACAAAGGCTCACGGCACTGGCTATCAGGCTAAGGAGATACATTAGAGAAGCAGAGGCAAAGAAGATAAATGTCCTGTTCTCCAAAGAACCACCCAAGGTGTATTCCCAACTGTAATGCAACAACAGAGTAACAGCAGAGCCACCTATACCAGAAACTGAACAGTACTGGAAGAATATATGGGAGAAAGAGAAGACACATAACACCAGTGCAAAGTGGC